TAAGGTAGTGTCGCTAGTGTTTAAACGAGTATATGATAGCGAATAGCTCCTGATCCGGTGTTCTATAGTTAACCTCTGCCTCGGTGAATTTCCTCGACTAGAAGGCTACTAGGTGCTAGACTTTATTATTATCTGGTTGGGAGAGGATCCTAGCTATCGCACTGTTTAATGTATCGGTCTCGATCTGAATTTGCCTCGAAGGGTCGAAATGGCGAAGAAGGGGAGCTAACTAGAAGGTAGCGATTAGGCGGCGGAACGCTAGCTTTTCGCGAAGGTCTAGCTTTATACTCCTTAGTTTTCGGCCGTTCTTACTTCCCTTTAGTAAGGCCGTTAGGGGAAGTGTAATCTCGGAGTAGTTACGGATAAAGCGCCGGTAGAAGTTATAAAATCCTAGGAAGACCTGGATATCTCGGTATATTCGTGGAAGCTCCTACGAAACGATATCGGATACCCGCTGAGGGTCTATCGAAACGCCTTGGGTAGAGATAATAAATCTAAGGAATTCGACCTCGTCCTGGTAGAAGAGGTACTTACTAGGTTTTGTATATAGTCCTGCCTTTTGGAGACGGGAGATAACCTAGTGTAGGTGTTCTGTATAGGATTGGCGGTCGGTCGAAAAGATAAGGATATCGTTAAGATATGCTACCGTAAAGATATCGAGAACGTCGTGAAGGGCGGTATAAATGTAATTTTGGAAAGTTACGGGTATATTAGTTAGGCCGAAGGGTATAACGGTGTATTCGTAGTGGCCGTATCGGGTTCGGAAGGCAGTCTTCCACTTATCGCCCTCCTTTATGCGGATGCGGTAGTAAGTATCTTTGATATCGATCTTACTAAAATATTTTGTACTCGAGAGACGGTTAAGGATCTCCGAAATTAAGGGTAAAGGGTACCGGTTCTTTACCGAAACCTTATTAAGTCCTTGGTAGTTAACATAAAGGCGTAGACTTCCGTCCGATTTTGGAACGAAGAGGATTGGGGCTCCGGCGGGACTCTTTGATTCGCGGATACGATTATTCTTAAGGTTTTCGTCGAGGTAACGGCGTAGTTTAGTAAGTTCTTTCTGAGAAAGTGGGTAGATTAGTCTAAAGGGTACCTGGGTGTCGGAGAGTAGGTCGATGGCGTGGTCGTGTATACTTAAAGGGGGTAGTGCTTGTGCGTTTTCAGAGGAGAAGAATTCGTGGAAGGGTTCTAGTTTGGGATATTGTAGATAAGGTTTCGACGGAGGTTCGGTATCGTTTTTATCGACTGGTAGCTATATTTCCTTAGGCATTTTTACCACGGCGAAGACGTACGTATGCCTTTGTGCGGCCCTCGCGAAGCGTTTCGGTGTTAAAACTTTAAAGGATCCGTTCCCGAATTACTATCGCCTAAGGCGGCCCGCGAGATATATATCCTCGTCGTGTATTGTCGTTATTGAGAGGAGTACTGGACTACTAGTAAGGCGGGGGTCGCGATTAATAGCGATATAAGGGCGTGTGAATCGGCGGGTAATCCCTCGAGAATCGGTAGCCTTTAGGGGGACTAACTACACACTATATATCGGAGTGTTTCGTCGGTTAATTACGCGGATTATCGGTTCGGTAAGCTTTGCTGGCTGGAGCCTATACTTCCTGACGAATTCGAAGCTAACGAGGTTAACTTTAGCTCTACTGTCAAGATCCGTATAGGTTTCGAGAGTGTTTCGGATGGTAATCGGTATATAGAAACGAGTTCTGGTCCCTACGGTAGGCTTTTGAGACGAAGAATGGGGATCTACTCCGTCTCGCTGTCGTTTCCCGCGGTTGTTGCTATCTGGACCTTTGGCTTTTCCTTAGGGTCCTTTCGGTCGGGGTAGTTAGGAGAGTAATACGTATCGCTTCCGTAGATGTGGTATATATTGCGTTTTCTATCCCTTCCGATAGGGTTTAGGTTGTTGTTCGTTGAGGACTCTTGACGTCTCCGATTGTTTTGACGGTTCTTGTAGGTTTTCTTTTCCGGTCCCTGGGGTTTATCCGGAGGAGCCTTACGCTTTCGGAGATGATTCGGCTTGGTTTCGTTTGTGTTTCCCCGGTCCGAATTTGTTTTTATGAGGTCCTAGTAATGGTTTGCCGTGTTGATAACTTCCTCACGTGTCTCGGGAAGTTCTTGTATATGGTCCTGGATTCGAAGCTAAAGGGAGTGTTGTAGTTTAACGAAGAAGGATCGGGCCCTTTCTTTCTTACTCGCTCTCTTAAAGTACTGCTTAAGGGTATCGAGACGGGCGTGGAACTCTCTAGGGTCCTCGTCCTTTCTTTGGTGGATATTTTCCTTTTCCTTTGCGATAGCTATTGTGAGACTAGACGCGTTTTTGATAAGGCTTAGGGTCTACTCCTGGAAGAAGAGCTAGTTATTAGTGACGTTTCGGCGTTCAATCTCCCTTTTTTCGGTATAGGTTCGGTACTATCTCTGCCTATAGGTTTGGTATATATGGTATATAGCGCCGATGATCTTTCTTTCGTCGCTATAGTATTTCTTTGGGGCTCCTGCGAATATCTGTTGTAGGTCGAGGAGCCACTTATGCCGCTTCTGAAGGTTGTATTCGAGTTCGAAGGTTGGCACGTTTTCGAATTTGATTTCCTTGTGCTAATTAGGAGATTCGCTTTGTCCTCGGTGGGTATCCGGTATAGATTCGCCGAGGGCTGATATGAGGTTCGTAGCTTGCTCGTTAAGCTCCTTGATTTTTTGGAGCTTTCTAACGCGTTCCTGAATCGCCGCGAGCGCTACGTCAACGTCCTCGTTAGAAGGGGTTCCCTCGATAACAGTCTGCGAATCTTCGATAGTCCGTGGGAGATTCGGCTCTGTTTCGCCGGCGGGCGTCGAACGAGTTCGAGGTGACATCCTTCCTTAGGTGATCAAAGAGGAAGAAACAGAATTGTAAAGATAACTACTTACAGGGTAGAAAACCTGTTGATCAGGTAAGGTTAGAAGCACCTAGTGAAATTCGTGGCAAGACTGTTTCTTGAGGAGTCTGAACCTACTCCTCAAGGTCCCAAATTTATATACAGTCTCTCATACAAAACAGGGAACTAGAAGAGGGGTAACCACGGTATGAGCGTGCATGAGCTGAAAGGTTGTGTAACCAGCCAACGTGGCCTACCGATAGGGTAGCCCTTTAGATACGCCACCGAGGAGCTGTCGACTGACCGCCGGGTCGGCACCCTCTTGGCAGAACGCCCGGGCCTCGTGCGGCCTGGGGCATCAGTCTGCGAATAACCTCAATATCAGGATATCATAACAATATTATCGTTATTATATTCCGGGTACTTTACGTCCCTAGGAAACACGGGAATCTACTTATAGCGATACGTGGACTAGCGAAATAGCGCGTAAGGATTAGCTCTATACTTAAGTAAAGTTGTTAAAAGGATCGCTAGTTTAGCTAAATCGCGCTACTCTTTAGGGCCACCCATATAATCTCTAACCGCTCGTCGAAGGGTAGGCTATTCAGAGGGTTTAAAGTAGAAGTCCGGCGGCCGCGTGATATTAGTGGCCGCGTCGTTTTGTAGAGAAGGAAGGGCAACCTCTTCGCTATGGTAAAGTCTATTAGGATCAACGCCTGAAGTTAGGAGAGATTCCACGCGCTTGACTTAGCCCTCGCCGGTCGCATTACTTAAGTCCGCGGCCGCCAGATTTTTGATCTCTAACTTTATGGTCGCTGAGAGAATAAGTGCTAAAGTTGGTGAATATATGGGACAGATGGGACATCAAAAATGATGACTGGTGGACGGGCTACTAGCACGACTGCTCAGGGTCTCGCGGGTGGCGCTAAAATAGTGTTCCTGAATATTCAGCCATTCATGAGGCCACCACGCCGCCACCCCTTTGCTAGTTTAGACGGATCTAGTTCTCTTCCGTATCCGCATTAATCCGTAATAGTCACCTAGATTCCTCCAACCACATAGAGCACAAGGTTACGGTACCAAGTGAATCCACAGGAGTCATGTGGTGTATCCGAAATATGCTACGGTTATGCGCTTGGGACGCTAAATCTTAAATTGACAGGTGGTATTGGGCATGAGATGTTGGTTCATGAATCACGTTGGCACGAGGAGGTTTGATTTGGAAAGCAATTTGTGCGCACCCGATGATCCACGTAGATTTTAAATTCCGCGATTTTTGTGTTATCTTGAACGTCCAGGAATTTCCACTGACAAAGGAGGATAACATCTGGACCCTGGCTCTCAATTTGATCAACGCTGCAAACCCAGGGCAAACTGCAGGAAATTCGTTGGGCTTCGTCATCCATGAATGAATCACAGGCGAGTGATGGTTGAATCGTAGCTTTCTGAATGATTAATCTAGGCTTTGACAAAGCGTACCCGTTTGAGCTAATTAAAGACTTAGTATGTAAACAGACAGGGACTCCTTAGTGTGTAGTCTGCCTACAACAGGAGGTTAAGGAGGCGAAACAGGAGTTTCTACTCTTCCACGATATCACTCTGTATCGTTCGGATGCTCCTACCTGATTGACAGGCCTCTACCCTGACTAGTAGAGTATCTTCTCACATAGCACCCAACAAGTTTGCAGTAATTCGGCTTCTAGCATAAGCACTATCTCGTCTCTTCGGATACCGTCATTAGGCTAATATATAATGTCGTTTCCAAGAACGTACTAAATAGGCAAAAAGAAATGAACAAAGAGTGAAGTATAGCTAGTACAAATTTGATGTAACTAAAGCTGGGCGATGATGCTTCCTGCAAGGACTGGGGAGGACTCGACATATTAATTGGAGAGTGTCTATCACCCTAACTACCACGTTCCACTTGGCCCCGGTGAAGCTAGAGAGAGTTGAATGGCCTGAGATATGTAGCATAGCTTGGTGTAGCGTCTGATTCTTACATTTATTTGAACACACAATGAGATACCTGTCATTTGGCAAACATTGAAACGCGTGAAAATATTGCTGGCTATTTAATTGCAAGAAATACGATAGCAATCAGAAAGTCCTCAGTAACGGACGCAACATGTAATGCTGCACTCAGAGCTCCTCAGTTATGCCTTCATTTTTAAATGCAGCAAACCCAAGTTCATATGCGAATCCAATCACCAATCTAACATGCTGAAGTACGTGGTTAATGTTGATTGTATCTGCACGATCCAGCGAGGTGTGAATGAATCTGCTGTGATCCCCAAACTTTGACTCAAAAGTCATTGCTGCTGGATACCCATGTGAATGAGCTGCCGCATGATCTGAACAGGCATATCCACATGCGGTATCCACATAGGGAATTGTACAGTACTGTCATTTATTAAATCCGGCGTATATTAAACATGAGAATAGGGCCACTTACTGTTGTAATCATCATTCTGACAAACTCTGTCAGGCCCGGATGAACATAATCTGTAAGAACACCAATGCACTCTGGTTTATTGGTTCCCACATAACCCGTATATCCGGTCATGTCCTGATTTAGCATAGCTTTGACTTCCCTTCCCTGCCTAGAGTAAGAATCAAAAATCTGTTTGCTTCCCTGCAGCCCTACCTCTTCGGCCGCGTAGAAGTGGAACTCAAGTGTGTTTGGTGCATGGCCTTGAGCAAAAGCAGGGTCCCGCAAGATGACTCGTAACGCTTCAAGCAATGTTGCAACCCCAGAAGCATTATCATCTGCCAAGAGTGATTAATGAGGGTTATATCAATCAATGCATTACACTCATAGCCACGGATGTGATATACATACCAGCACCGGGGGCATAATCTCGTGGGACTTGGTAGCATGGTCTCGTAATGGAGTCCTGGTGGGCTCCCACCACGACTGTTTTGGCACTTATCCCAGGGATTGACACGATGATACTTGGTTGATCCCAACCAGCATGGTCGAAAGGCTCCACCGCAATACCTGTTGCATTGCTGGTAGTGACTATTTGATTGATTTTTGCATAAAGCCATTTTGATGCCTTCATACTATACTCACTTCCGTTGAAGAAGCGATTTTGAAAGTCCGAAAAGTCTTCGATCATAGTGTGCACACTCAAAGGATCCAACTGAGTAATGAGTTTCTTCACACTTTGCGAATGGCGAGTGGCTGTAGGATACCTTACTGCCACTAGCTCTTCATTATGTCTTTGAATAATACTCTCGTCCTGCGTAATGTGAAAGGATTCTTGGCTGGCACCTAACCACCCCATATTCAAGGGCGACTGTGGCGGTGGTAAAAGCGCCGATGCAGCTGCAGCAATGACGATAACATATTTTAGAACTTTCATTTTGTAACTCGAGTTGCTTAAAGTCTAAGTGGCACGAGTGAAAGGATGATAATGATTGAATTGAGTTCGAGTCGAAGACCTTTATAGGTTCCCCGAAGCTTTATTCCGTGATACCGTTACATCATCATACGACATATTAACTAACTACTAATGGTATCAGCTCGGTCCCAAATTGAAAGGTTACAAACCATTTTACCATGTGTTACCGGCAACAATAAGTAACAAGATTCGCACTTCCAGTAGGGGAGTGAGATTCCCAGCATGACTCAAGTAGTTAATAACCTGTCAGGAAAATGGTATCGGCACCGTATTGACTTAAACGGTACCTCTGAATACCTCTAAAGAATGGCATTCGGTATTGCGATTACGCGTACTTTTCGCCGCCTTCGCAGCCCCGCAGATGTATCCTCTAAGCCACACATATTCTCGCGGCTATTTTGACCCCTTCAGCCCCCAGCAATTCCAGAGAACAAGAATCTACACTCATTTTTTGCATCTTTTAGCATTTCCCCTTTTGGTTCCGGTGTCCAAATCACCTCGTAAATCTACTGTATTTCCATAGCTATACGGGGCAGTCCTGACATAACCCGATTTCAGATTGGTCCAAATTATTCCGTTAAAGTCCGAGCCAACCAGACCTCAGTAACCGTCTTGTTTCAATGCTAATTATACGAAAAGCCTCCTGTCTGAAGTCATATGAGTGCATAATGACACTTTCATTCATTATGATGGGATTTAACCTCTAGCATGGATTCATGCGGTTGCAACGGTCTAGGCGCCCAGATGGAAAAGCATAGGCGCCGTTCGCGGATAATAATCTAAGTTACCAGAAGTTGTCCCGTCTTTCTAGTAAATAAAGTTCATCAGTATTCCTTGGCATATACTAGCATAAAGGCAGAAAAGTCATGCTCGACGCTAGTGATACGTCCATGTCGCCAACTGCATAGTGGCATGGGACCGTGTCATGGCGTTACCTTCTAAATAGTTTATGTGCTCACTCTCACTGATACTGATGTGTCTTACCAGCCATCTATCCATGGAAGCAGTGATTCCTCTTCTGTTATGCTCCAAGGGCTAGAGCATCATTTGATCTAGGAGGCCCATTCAACTTGGAATCCAGCCATGGTTTCCACTTTCTACTTCTAGGCAGAGTTTCTGCACCAGCATGCGAAATATCTACGGAAAAATATTTAAAGAACCGTAAAGCACAAAGAAACTATCTTACGCTTATATTCCAACTGGAAGTACTGAGCATTTTTGGTACGAGCTCTTGAATCTTCTATAACTTAGTCCCAAAATGCAAGGCCGTATCCACCTAGCGCGCCATGCGGAAGGTCTTCACAATTTGCGCAACGATCCAACAATTCCCAACGCTCCTTTGAGTGAACGAGGTTTTGATTTCGCGGAAGGTCTAGGACATCGCTTTATCCGCGAGTACTCGAACAGTGTCGGAGCAATCATATCCAGCCCACTCCGGAGGGCTATCCAGACATCCTTAACGGCATTCCACCGGATCTTGGACTCCACCCAGTATCCTAAGAATTCCGGTTCGGGTGTTAATAACGGGGTGATGTTAGCCCTAGATGCCAATTTGCAGGAAATTGCCGACCTGCCATCTAATAACGGCTCCACTCCGAACGATCTAATAATCGAATTCCCCGAACTTAAGTCAGAAATAGAAAAACTGCATGAGGATTGGCATGTCAAGACGGGGCATCGCTCGCCACTACCACAATCACTGCGTCAGAGAAAAGCTGAGATTCTACAACGACTACAAAAAACCCTATCGGATTTGCAAAATGAACCCATGGGTGATGACATTGTCGTTGTAACCCATCAAGGTGTAATCGCTCTACTTGCACCCACTGCAAACATTCCTGTAGGCCACTGGCAGACCTTCCGCTTGGTCAGAGAAAATGGGCTGCTTTCTTTGGAATGAGGGGTGATTAGTGAATGTGGCTGGGAAAAGGATTCATATTGATAATGGCACTGGCTAAATGGATGGAGCACGGATAAGGCCATGCTTGGCAAGAACGTTCAGTAAATAGGCATACTTGGCACTATTTATCGAAATCGAATCCAACTGGGGCTTGTTATTGCGTTTTGGTACCATCATACATCCACCCATGTCATTCAGATGTGGCCACATATGCACAAGAGCAATGGAATAAGCTACTTACTTCTAAAGCTGCCAATCTGGTCTCAGAGGGGCTAAGGGTACTCCACACCCATCCCCCTGAGGGAATTGGCTTTGAGCATGAATAAGTATTGCTCTGTGTGACAGTTCATGGAATTGATTTCACCTTTGTCTCGGACTACAAAGACCGTACTTTCACCATTACAGCCTTGAGTATAGAGTACAGCTCCTACCCGTCATTATCCTCTGTTCATCTTGCCAATAGGTGATCTAGAAAAGTGTATTACGATTTACAGAGTTATTTCCATCCATAGGGAGCTTTTGTCGACGAGGAATCTGTGAATCAGGTGCCCATCCGGGAAGCCTTCTGTTTACGACCGGGTCTCTGATGTATAGGCCATAACAGTACCGCGATATGGTTCCATAGTGTTGGGCTACTCAGCGAGTCTCTTGGCATTGGATTTAGATCTTAGTAGCGGACACTGGCTTGTGGCCGGATTCGCCAATCCCTGGTTAGTCTGGCCAGAGTTGGTCACCTGGGGGCAACAAGCGCCGTTTTTGTCCAGTTCAACTTTAGGATTTTGCCAGTATCCCCCCTAGAGGCTGGTTCATTCACAGCTCAGGTGATTATGATCGAAGCATTGAATAGAACAGTCTGGACCATATCAGAGATCGTGGTCATGGGTCAGTGGAATGCCTCGCTAATTACTCTCGCATTTTTGCCACCACTTACTACCGTCTATCAAGTAGAAACGATGAGTCTACCTCTATCTCTCTCTGCGAGCATTTGAAAGTCCTCAAATTCTAACGATCTAAACCTATTTCTATCCAAAACTTTGTTTACCATCATGTCATTTGACAGAGACCCAAACGTTGAAGTTGTGCGTGATTACGATGGTGCAGTCCAAAATCTAGACCATTCGCAATAGCTGTGGTCTCCTGAGACCGGTCTACATGGTCCATCCGATCCTATAAGCGTTGCCCATCAATATCTTCTTAGGGTGGCCGATGACTACAAAATTCCTCCGGGCGTCCTTGGTGAAACACCTACGAAGTTATCTGAGCTAGCCAGTTCCACAGACGCTCTGTTTAGCCTCAGCTTGCCACAAGAAAGGCCTCGCTTTAGGAGCACAGCAGTGATCTACCAGCAAACACTGTGCGGGCTCCCTGTGTGGGACGCCAAGTTTAGCGTGACTGTGAATAAGGAAAATCACGTAGTCAACTCGACCAGCAGCATCGACATAAGAGCCTCCAAACCAGAAACCCCCCAGGTAATGCTAAATATATGCAAAAGGGTGTTACGGAGGAGGATCTGGGCCAGTTGTGAGAGCTTCCAGTGGGCAAAGGTGCAATTTACTTTAAAGAAGAGCAAAAGCAACAACGCTTTCTTGTCTATCGCTACCACAAAGGCGATAGACAGGAGATATCCGGGAATTTCGCACCTACACTAGTTTTACGTGAAGTCCCTAAGACAATCAGAGATAGACAGTCCTATGTACTGAGAGAAGTTCTGTTCTCTCTCCCGATCTCTGGATATAGTGACCTCAACTGGAGAGCATTTATTGAAGTCGAGACAGGCTTTATCGTCTACTTGCAGGCGCTCACAGCTGGTCTAAGTGGCTAGGTATTTGCTCGAGACCCCGCTACAAAGCTCGGCCACAAAGCTCCCACAACAAGTGGCGACATTGCTGACTTAAACCTGTTAGGTGACAAAGTTTTCCTTTCTGACATTATTCCGACAACCCCTCAAAAGCTCAATGGCAGATACGCTGAAATCAAAGACTTTGATTTGCCCATAAGTCTTCCCCCAACGACAGCCAGTGGAGGATTCAATGACAGCGTTGAGACAGACAACTTTACGGCTGTCAGTGCATACTATCATATTACAAAGCTGTTCAGGCTTCTGGCTGAGCTGGGTTTCCCCGTTAAAACTTTCTTCATTAACACCCAATTTCCTTTCCCTGTTGATCACCGTGGCTTCAACGACATGGTAAGTGCCCAAGCCCCGGGAAATTCAACTGGCAACGGCTGTGGAGGATTTATTTTCGGCCGGGCTGATCGGAATACGCAAATTGGTATTGCAGCGGATTTCCGTGTCGCTACACACGAATTTGGCCATGCACTCCTGTGGGACGCTATTCACTGGCCAGGGTTTGGTTTCGCTCACAGTCCTGGCGACTCACTGGCTGCCATATACTGTGATCCTCGAAATGATGCACAAGATCGATTTGATACATTTCCTTGGAGTGTTGTTCGTCGCCGCCATGATCGCGAAGTCACTGATGGCTGGGCATGGGATGGACCCCAGTATAGACGAGATGGCCCCGCCTACTACCTTCGTGAGTAAATTCTATCGACCACTCTTTTCCGTCTCTATTAAACGATCGGCGGAGATGCGAGAGGTGATTTCCACAAGCAGAACTGGGCGTCGAGGTACACTCTCTATCTGATCATCGGAGGCATCGCTACCATCACAACAACTCCCAGCATGCCGTACCAATATGTCTCTGCAATGATATCTGCAGACAATGGTACAGTGCTTGGTTATCCCGGTGGGGCTGTTAGGAAGATTATCCGCTGGTCGTTTGAGAAGCAGGGCTTGTATCATCCTCTTAGCACCCCAACTCCGGGTGTCATGACAAGAGGGCCGCCTCCAGCTGTGGACCCATACATCGATGCCGGTAGAGATGGCGAGTATGACTATGCTCCTATGTCTGGCAACTCACCTGGTATCTGGAATCGCCAGGCTCCGGATGGTGGCCTTAACAACCAGGCTCCCTTTGTCGGGGTTCCGAATTACTGTTACGTCGCGGTGAAGAACCGGGGAACCGAAAATGCGCAGAACGTCCAGGTCACCGTATATGAGTCTACTATCCCAGAGCCAACGGTCTGGCCAGCCCGTTTCCAATCACCGGGTACTGTTGTGCCAGTTAGCGGGACTATCAATGGAAAGTGACAACAAACTGCTATTGTAGGGCCATTCCGATGGACGCCCAACTCGAATGCCTCGTTTGATAGATATAGCTTACTGGCCGCTGTCGGTGCTGACGGTGACCTCTCCAATATTGATGCAAACAGCGGCTTGGCATGTGCAATCGGGCCCACGGATGTTGATAACCTCGTTCCATTTGATAACAATCTGGCAGTGCGGCGCTTTGAGTGGTAAAGATGTCTAAGCGTGATGCCTGAACTGTCGCGCAGCACTAAACACGATTTTTGAATAACGAAAAGCTAAAGAACACCAACCGACACCAACCCTTTTGAATTTGCGCTCCAATGATGCAGTTCCTTCGCATCATGCCTGCTCTTCTGAGTTTCAATATTGGCTAAGGATTTCCGATATCCGGTACACGGAAGCTGCGTGCCTAACTGACCGATCTTTCATGATTTCCAAAGTTGCTGCATTTTCACAAATCCTTTTGCTATTTCCGGCATTAATTGGTGATTTGACTGGCTTCTGCTTTGTTAGTTGTCTTGGTCGCGGAAGGACGGCGGAGAGAAAGAGAGAAAAGAATCGGACGGTTTTTTTTTTTTGTTTTTCAGATATCTCTTTCAAGAAAAGTTGCTTTTTGTCATAGCCTAGTCCATGGCTTATAGCTTTAGAAAGAAAACGAGATTACGTGAATGCACGAATGCACATATTCTCACACGAATTACTCCTCCGCAAGCTCCGTAAAGCACAGTGACCAATTTAGTTAGTTGATATACTTATCCATCCATGCCCTACAACGACCGGCCCTAGGCCAGTAAAGGTGTACAACACTACATGTTTGTTCTCCAGTGGACGAGGGCTAAACGATGCACATGAAGATATAGGCCCGAGCATTGTATAATGGAGCGTCTAGATACTGAATTGGCTTTTGCAGGCTATATTGACAGTCGTGGGCATAGTACACAAGACATCTCACAGAGTAATAGAAAGTAACTGACATAAGGAGGATACCGTGTCACTTGGGACTATATAGCAAGGATCATAGATGCGATGCGCTCCATTATTTGATCCCTAATGTTGAGCATTTCCACTCAGTCTAGTTTTGCAAAATTCTTCGCCACCTCTTCTAAGTTTTATTATTTGTTGTGTGCAGCAGGGTTTCCGCAAGTCTCACGCCTCTAGCTACTTCTTCCTGTTAACGCCTAACAACACCAGACTTCCCCTATTGACTCTAATTCACGGGCCTTAGAGCCGCATTGCGTTATAAGCTACTACAATCTACTGAAACTTGTTCCCTGGTTACTAGAGTCGGGCGATAGAAGTTTATCTTGGTAAGTCATGAGTTTTTAATTCATAGTAGGTTTGCTATTGAATTAAAGTAGATTGTACTTTAATATGTTGAATGGCTATATAACCTGTCATTCCGTATATTTCTATTGAAAATCACTGTTTACGGGTATTCGCAGTAGGTATGACTGTAGCCCCGATATATCTAGAACTTTTTATCGATAGCATCATGGCTCCTCACTCACCCGTGCACCCGTCCCCGCTTTTCTCGAAGTTTAGGTACTGACGGCTATGGTGCTGCTGTATACTAAACTCCCTTATAGAGCTATAGAGATACACGAAGTCCTGGAATATAGGAACGTATCTACTACTGAAAAGGACCACCGATATAGGAGTATTTTACCCCCATTCCAGATTTAGCACAGACTTCAGAACGTCATAATCCAAGATGAACCGGAGGGATAGATGAAAATTATTGCAAAACGCACCTATAGCCAAGAGGACCCAAACTTTTACTTACAGTAATTCCAACTGCGTCATGATTATAATATAGATTTCACACCGTGAATTCTGATCTTTTTTATATATAAGGCGGTCACAACTCTGGAGCAATACTAAAGTATTAATATAACGACCTAAGATATACGATCTGTGAACTGAATTTAGAGTTTACTTACTAGCGTGGTCTTAGTGAACCACGAAAAATATAACAGGAAGCTAGCTACACGAAAAGCGTATATAAGATATTAGAATTAGTGAGTTAAATCTACTATAATTGTAACAGGCTGTTGCCCGAGTGTGGCCATGTGACCATGGCCTTCATCTTGCTTTTGCCTGCTTCCTCATCGGACCCACACTAGCTTCCATATGCGGTATCATATTGTCGTAGCCATGCACGAACGCCCCCTTTCCCTTCCTTTCCCCAAGATTGTTGTAAACAGTTCGTGGCCTAGTTAGATTGAATTAAATCGGCTTTAGCCCTTCACATATAACAATCTTCCGATACCCTATCGTTAAACGTTCACGGACGCGCTCGAAAGGTCTCGGACGCATCAGAGAAAGCCTCTGAAGGCCTCAGAGCACACGATTACCCCTGAACGTATAGACGCTTAGGGACGACGACGAAGCAACAGGTATGGAAGCCCCGACCTATACGAACGAAGGCGAATACTAACGTCACCTTAACACACGAACGGCCAACATGGAAACGAACGAAATGCCAGTTTGGGCGCGAGCACTCGTTGAACAGCTCTCAAATCATCATCACTAGCTTGTAGACCAACAGGCTCAGCAGAACGAACGCTTCCTTCGGATTGAAGAACAACTTTCCCGTCGAGGTACCCCATCAACCAGCGACAGAACTATTCCGAACCTCCCTGACGGGGCTACGACGACTCCTCTTCCCGATTCCCCACGATCGGAACCACTTCGCCGTCCTCGACCACGCCTTCCGGACCCGATTGTATTCTCCGGAAACGTTAATGACTGGCCGGCCTGGAAAACCCTAATAGAAATAAAACTACGAACCGATGCGGAAGCGATTGGAGACGCTTAGGACTAATTCGCCTACGTCTTCACACGATTAGAGAAACTAGCATGGAAGAACGCTAGCACCTATGTTCGGAGCCACTAGGGAACGGGGACCCCCGAGAGCCTCCTTGCCTACCTCGAATAGATGTACGGAGACCCGAATGCTCGGGCCCGTGCCGTAAGACGCTTATACTAGATGCGACAACCCGACGATATGGCCTTTCGGAAGTTTCTACCACGGATCGAACGAGAATTTGCAGACGCAGGCGCCCTTGCGTGGCCGGACGAAGCTAAACGGCAGATTCTACTCGGCGCACTCAATTCGACCATGATATAATCGCTCATGAGCCGTGGTGTTCCGCCTATATTTCTAGGGTTGATCGACCGACTACATGAAATCTTAAACGATCGAGATACTCTTACTATCAACAACCCCCGCACTAACACGAACATAGGCAGACAGCGCAGAACGAGCCCTATTTAGACAGACGAAATGGACTGGACTCCTACGATTAAAAGTAGCCGTGCACGAACGTACGATCCCTAAGCGAAACGGGCTAGATGGGTTGAAAATGATAAGATAGACCGACGACGTGAGGAAGGCCTCTGCTTCCGCTGTGGCCGCGAAAACTGCCGGGTTTCTACTTGCCTATTCCTTCTAGCTATTAGGCTAGATGCTAAAGTCCGGAAGGCCAAGACTGCTGCCAAGAGGAGCCGAAAGAGCTAGTATGAGGACGAAACGGGCTCCGATAGTGATTCGGAAAAAGAGTAGCTCCTATTCTTAGCCGCGAGTAGGAGCGTAAGGGAGTAGAGGATCTTATACGGAAGGAATCGTTACTATTCTACGTCGACGCCTAAGTGAATAGAATCAAATTTGCTAAAGCTCTGATCGATAATGGCTGCACTAGTTTTGCTATAGTAAACGGTCCCCTCGCGAAATCCCTTAATCTCCCGCGTATTCGTCTAAACACCCCTAGACGGTTGGATAGCGTGGTCCGTGACTAAGGATAGATCACGCATGTAACGTATTTTAATATGGACGTGTATAGACACGAGTAACCGCGCGTATTCGTATATATCGTCGAAAGCTAGGAAGACGAAATGATACTAGGCGACGCCTGGATGAAACACGTTAACGGACGTTACTCTGCACGAAAGGGATACCTCGATATCTACGACCGGGACGGAGACCGAACGCGCTATTGGAATTGTGTAGACCGTACGATAGGTCCTGTGGGTATTAAAACGCTACGCTTATATGAATCCTTCGCTAAGGAAATCAAAGCTGTTCTGGATAGCGCTTAGTACCCGAAACGCTTACGAATTGGAAAGGTTACTCTCGCTGATATCGAATGGGCCCTACGGAAGAAGAAGCACACTAACTCTAAAGAGAGGCTTCTAAGGTAGTATTAGAAATGGGCTAGAGTGTTTAGCCAATAGCTTGCGAACGCTCTACTACCGAATCGACCTGGGATTGACTACTAGATACCGCTTAAGCACGACAAGAATGGATAGGAGGAATCGCCCCTATACGGTCCCTTATATAGAATGAACAAAGAAGAGCTACTGTATTTACGGAAGACGCTCACGGATCTTCTGGATAAGAACTTTATTCGCGTTAGCTAATCGCTAGCGGCTGCCCCCGTCTTGCTCGTACGGAAACTAGGCGGAGGCGTACGTTTCTGCGTGGACTATCGTGGTCTAAATGAGCTTAGTGTAAAAGATCGATACCCCTTGCCTTTGATCCACGAGACACTACGTAACTTAGGAAGCGCACGATGGTTCACGAAGCTAGATATTATCGCCGCCTTTTATAAGATCCGAATCTAGCCCGGAGAAGAATGGAAAATAGCTTTTCGGACCCGATATAGCCTTTTTGAATGGAATGTTATGCTATTTGGACTTACTAGTGTACCTGCCACTTTCTAACGATTTATTAATCGTACCCTTCGAGAGTTTCTAGACGATTTTGTCTCCGCCTATATCGACGATATTATTATCTACTCTAACGGATCGAGAATGGACTACCGCCGAAAGGTCGCGAAAGTGTTGTAGAAGCTCTAGAACGTAGGGCTATAGTGCGATATTGATAAATCAGAATTTGAACAGAACTGTATTAAATACCTTGGCTTTATTATCCGTGCGGGCGAAGGCGTACACGTCGACCCGAAGAAGGTAGAAGCTATTCGCGTATGGGAAACACCGAAGACAATTAGGGACGTACGGGGATTCATCAGCTTCGCTAACTTTTACCGAACGTTCATCCCTAGATTTGCCGACCTCGTAGCCCCCCTGACTAGATTAACCCGAAAGGACGCCGAATTTTAATGGAACGACGATTATTAATATACGTTTAACTAACTTAAGGAGCACTGTATTAACGTCCCTATCCTTACATATTTTAAGGAGGACCGGGAGATAGTCGTCGAAACGGATGCTTCTGGATGGGTAACCGGCGCCGTACTATCGCAACGGTAGCCGAATAGAGACCTTGCTCCGTGTGCCTACCTATTATAGAAGTTCTCGCTAGCGGAAGCTAACTACGAAATCCACGATAAAGAATTACTTGCGATCGTACGGGCGCTAAAGGAATGAAGACTAGAGCTAAAGATGGTACCAAAGTTCACGATTATTACCGACCACAAGAACCTATAATACTTCCGGAAGGTATAGCACCTAAGCGAGCGACAGATGCGATGGTCGATATTGCTTTCCGAATTCGACTATTATCTTTAATATCGCCCTGGTAAGCTGGCAGTTCGACCTGATGCGCTATCACGAAGGGGACAAGATATCCCTAAGGACGTAACCGATGAGAGACTATCGAATAGGTTTCGGACGCTGCTATATCGTGTGAGGATCAAACCAACCCGTACGGGAACGATCGCTGGCGACTCGGATACCTAATTGGATTTTAGGACTGAGGTCCCTCTGTTCGACCAACCAGACATGCAACAAGAATGGACGCGATCGAGAGCTAAAGACCCTGTGTACTACGCCCTTTCAGAAGCACTACAGAACGACGACCGACGAATCGCTGCGGAATTAAATGTTAAGACGAGTTTGTCCGAGTGCTATCTAGACGAACGTGGCCTTTTATGTTTCCGGTAACGAATATGGATTCCCGAGAACGAAGCCCTCCGCACACGAATCATCCAGCAAGTACACGATTCACACGTTACCGGTCACCCTGGCCGAGATGTAACGTACGCGATACTATTAAGACGCTTCTTCTGGCCGGGAGCCGTAAAGGATGTACGCCAGTTCCTACGAAATTGTACTATATACGGCCGAAGCACGATTTGGCGAGATACGAGACATGGGCTATTGAAGCTACTACCGATTCCTTAGCGAATATGGGCCGAGATATCAATGGATTTCATCACGGATCTCCCCCCGTCAGGCCCTATAAGCGCGACTAACTGTCTTGTAATCACTGATCGGCTTACGAAAGGGATTATTTTGATTGAAATGGCCGAGATTACCTCAGAAGTAGTCGCTAAGACGTTTTTGACGACCTTCTATATGCACTACGGGCTTCCACTCGTAATCACGAGCGACCGGGGCCCCTAGTTCGTGAGTGCGTTCTGGCGAATCGTATACGACTGGCTTTCTATCCAACGACGACTATCGATAGCCTTCCACCCGCAGACGGACGGATTAACAGAGAGGGCTAACCAGGAGATTGAACGGATCCTACGAGCTTTCACTACCTACGCACAAAACGACTAGAGCCTTTTACTGCCAATCGTAGCGGGAGCAGTTAATAACCGCGACGCCACGTTAACTGGCTTATCCCCGTTCTTCTTCACACACGGCTACCACGTCGACCCTATCGCGCTTGACGAGACAACGGACAGCACGATACTCACACGCCTAGAAGCAGCCGGGTAAGCCTTCGTCGAACGCTTATAGGAAGCGACTGATTGGGCGCAGTCAGCGATAGCAGTTGCCCAAGATCGCTAGCAAGAGAAAGCGAATAAGAATCGCCGGCCAGCACCGGTTTATAAAGTGCACGATCGGGTGTGGTTAAACCTCCGCAACGTACGCACACAGCGGCCGTCAAAGAAGCTCGATTGGTTGCATGCTAAATATGAGGTGCTCGAAGTCCCCACGCCACATACAGTACGACTGAATGTCCCCACAGGCGTCTATCCAGTATTCCATGTGGAACTAGTCCGACTGGCAGCAACCGACCCGCTACCCTCACAGGTAGTGGACGATTCCGAACCGCCACCGATGGTGGTAGACGGCGAACAGGAGTATGAGGTCGAAGCGATTTGGGACATACGGAAACGCCGTCGCGGGCGCCGCTCCCAGATGGAAGCGTTGGTTAAATGGACCGGATACCCAGAGCCCTCATGGGAGCCGTTTGAAGCCGTACAAGGCGTTTCCGCACTAGACGAATACGAACGAACGCATGGCCCGGTACCCATAGGAGACCCGACAGACCAAGAAACCGTCCGCATCAGCTTCATGCGTCTATATGCCCCCGAAGGGAGAGGAGAGGGGTATGTAACAGGCTGTTGCCCGAGAGTGGCCATGTGACCATGGCCTTCATCTTGCTTTTGCCTGCTTCCTCATCGGACCCACACTAGCTTCCATATGCGGTATCATATTGTCGTAGCCATGCACGAACGCCCCCTTTCCCTTCCTTTCCCCAAGATTGTTGTAAACAGTTCGTGGCCTAGTTAGATTGAATCAAATCGGCTTTAGCCCTTCACAATAATCATCTCAATCACGCCTTCACCGGGTAAATGTTAGCTTATGCGCAAAAAAGCAGAAATTACCGTTCGAAATATATCAGCCCGTAAGTTTAAAGTAATGAGATATGGCGATTTAGGAGGCCGCTAGAATTCGGTTATTACTCCTAGCCATAGTATAGATAACGCTAAATAATAAAAGAAACAAAGCTACTATAGAGTACTAGGAGCCCCTAGGGAACTCCCCGTAGAATATCTAAGACTATTATAACGACTGGTGCTCTAGGCCTAATTTCTTTTTAATAGAAAGAGAGGACAGAAGAGTTAATAGATTATTAAAGAAGCTAAGATCTAACTAACAGGGCTAGAGGATCTAATAAATAGGATTATGTGACTAGTAGCTATAGATAAACACTTTTTTCGGATTATAACCTATTAATATATGAGTATAGCACTAGGAAGTCTTATCCTAGTGACTATTCTACTTATCCTAGCACCCCGGTATGCTCTTAGTACTCTATAATATCGCTTCGTTTCTTTTATTATTTAGCATTACCTACACTACAGCTAGGAGTAATAACCAAATTCTAGCAGCCTCCTAAATCGCCATATCTTATTACTTCAAACTTACGGGCTGGCTAATATTTACGCGATGAAGGCGGGATTAAGAGGATTATATTAGATTTACCTCGCTAATTCTAATATCTTATACACGCTTTTCGTGTGGCTGGCTTCCCGTTGTGTTATTCGTGGTTCACTAAGACCAAGCTAGTAAGTAAACTCTTAATTCAGTTCATCTAGGCGTGTCCAAAAGCGCTTGAGACAGGGTGAGGATTTTATATATATCCAAAAGAAAAAAGAATCAAATAAGCTATTCCGGAAGAAATCAGTCAATCCTCGCTTTTGCGACAGAAATCAATAGACACTAAACAAAGGATCAGTCGTGACTCTTAACGTCAGAATTTGTCTGAGATTAAATATCAGTTGAAAGCGAAATACTCAAAAATGCCACTGACTTCTGCATAAATTATGCATGCCACGTGTTATTAGACTTTTCGCTTATTATAGGACCAGAGGACCGCCCAGCGGTCTCAAGATCTAGGACCAAAGACCACGCGGTCCGGTCTGGTGCGGGCTTGGTTGCGGTCTTTTCGGTCCCGTGCAGAGGCCTAATAGTGAGTAAGAGATGCTTGCAAAGGACTCCTCGTCAACCCCATTAATGGACGCGACCCCATTCATGGACCCTGCAATACAGTCAAAAGCATACGGGTAACGCTGTGTGTCAGTTTCCTTATTCAATACTGCTAGTGTCCAGACGTGCACGCAGTTATTCATGCTCCATCATTCTGACGACGGCTCGACTTCTAGGAAACAGAATTCAGTTAGGATTGTTATCACACTGTTGAAGTTTACAGCATTTGCTGTCACTTTGCGCAGCCATCCTGGTGGATTATCGGCATGTCCAGCACAGAAAAGCCCGTACTAGAGGCACTGGTTGCCAAAGTATGCCAATAATTTCAGGAATTTTGCGGCTGCGGCATCGTCCCTTTCCAGACGATTATATGATAAATCCCAGGTCGTGAAGAATATACGCTTTTGAGCGGTTAAGTGGGGTCCCAGGGATCGATGTTCCAGTGTCTCTTATACTCTGCAAGGTATTGCTTAAAAGTAAAAGAACTCCGATGAAGGAAAGCACCAGTGGTGGCCAAAGCAAGAGGAAGACCTGCAAGTTGCTAGGCGAGGAGCCTTGCATATAGGTCTAGTAATCATGGTCAGGATATCATAGATCTATTTGGCTTTAGCGTACCTGATTGCACCCTTGCTCGTTTTGATCTAGTCTGGAGGATTTCAAGGCTGTCTTCAATGTTCTGTAGAGGCTTTATTCGGACTTCACTTCCAGCAACACGATCTGGCCGCTATTTAGTGACAATAATGGCCCCGTGAGAAGCAGGGGGAAATATTGCTCGGTCTGAAACAGGCTATCGAAGATCAACAGCCATCCAGTATTATTTCGGTGGGAAAACATTGATGTATACGTCTCGCAATCTCTTTGCCTTCCAATACCCTGATATTCATGTGTCATTGGAAATGTGCTTCGCGATCGATTGAAAGCTATCATTCAATGAGCTCGGATGCCGTATTCAGCCGGAGCACAGGGTCATAAATTTTACTATGAGTCCTGGCGTAGGCGATGGCAAGCTGCGTTTGGCCGATACAACCGATACCGCCCAGAACAAGACGCCGTTGCTCCAAATGCTTTTCGCCTGGGTGCAAAACTTTTGTCATCTGACTAATCTCGAAGACCCGGCCAACGAAGAGTTCAGATTCGAGGTAAGGCGTTTGACCGTGACAGATGCCAGCAGCATTTCGAAGGTTGAAGTCTTCCGTTTCCTTGGTTACTATCAATAATGGTCAGGTCGTCTATCGAGTCGAGGCAGGGGTAATTAAGTTTATAGAAAATCATCGGGAGACTTTAAAAAGACAACATAAGCAACATGTGAATACTGTATTAGGAGCAAGTAGTTGAAGGGGGCGTAAACACGTCGACACATAGAAATGTTGAAGTACAAAGATCCTTTCACCGCAATCAAAAACAAACACAAATGCACAGCTGACTTTATAAGAGAATGATGATGACTAATTCTTACCAAAAGTCATTTTTTTAGCATTATACATCGTCGCGTGATCGGTAGCAGTTTGGTGCTCCCCACTGCCTGTGTGCACCAAGTTCGTCATCTTGCCTCCGCCCCTGCTAAAACTCATAGACAAGCTTTCTTCCTCGGGCATCGAAGGCGGTAGAGACTTCATCTCGTGGACAATACTTTCAAGCATTCTCCTTTGCTCTGGTGTGGCAGAATTTACTGCATGTTGGTTGATAATGAGTTGTACATCTTCAGTAATCGCAATCATGAGATCTTCAACTATATTTCCTTTACCGAGTCTCCGAACGACCTTGAAATATCGTTCCTCCCACTTATCCTTTTCACCAGGCATGGTACCTTCAAATATTTCTTTTTTCAATTTTCCGGCTTTATCATCACAAACCTTGAGAATCTTCTCCAAGGCTCGGCAGGCATCCTCGGACATGAGGTTTTTAGTCGCTTCTAGATCGTTCTTGTAGGCCTTGAGTGTATCGAGGATAATAGGGAGTCGCCGTCCTGTACCCTATAGGCCATCTGCTTTAGGGTATTATTAGCCCTTAGGGTAGTACAGGCCTGGCTAGGTAACGTAATTCACTCATGACCGGGGCAGCCGTTTTGTTAGCGATCCTGCGCGTACGGGATATAACCATATCGACAAGTGCTATTTCTTGGAAAACTACCAACATGCGCCGCTAGAAGCCTTCCAAAAGACATCTATTTTTCAGAATAGCTTTGCAGCTAGCGGCCTAGTACCAGTCGATAGAAAAGAGTGCTTTCGAAGCTTACTATATTTGTACGAACACCTACACCACCAACCAGCCGGCCAAGCAGCAGATCCAGCCAATTCACACCAAAAACGCCTAGAACCGTTACTCAGCTGCTAAAGCAAGCTTCTATGTTAAAGGATCTGCTGAAGCAACGGTCAAATAGCCCTCCAAGCCCATCAAAATCATATTGGACCAAATTATCAAGGGCCACTGCCTATCGCTGCACAACACCGCGTTACTAGCGCAGCATAACGCGAATCTCCGCGTAGCAAATGACAAGACTGTCAAGAATCGCAATCTGTCAACTAATAATATAACCTGTGAAAAGGGTTTGACCATCGAAGAAGGCCTACAGCTAGTTAAACCGCTCAACCGGCCGGTAGAAGAGGATAGAGTGGTATCGCATAGGCAGGGCGAATTGCCTATTCACCGAAGTCAGTATTCAACCTTCTCTTACTTATTCGTCCTGCTTCCTATATAAGGCTTAGCATAGTAACGGTACGGTTACGAGATACTCTTAGGAGTACAGTAGAACTAGGTAAGTATAACCCTAAAGTAGCTCTACTCATAGTGAATAGTAGGCTTCGCGTAATACCCTACTAGTTTAGATTTATAGGATTGAATATCGTTACAAGGTAGTTCTATCGTGTTAAATATACTATCCAATCGTAGAAAGATAGCTACCACGATTATTTCTTCTCATATTATTTAAAAACCGGTTATAAGACGTCCTATCATGTGGTATGGCTTTGGACGGACAATTCAAGGCCTATTAATTGATTTATACGGAGTTTTCCAGGGAGAAAGCGCGGCGGAGAGCCTAACATAGGTTAGCTGTATCCATTAGGCGGTTTCATTATTTGTCAGATTATTTTAGAAGCCTGGTAGTACTTTTAATCTACTTTGCCTGGTAAGGTTTTGGTCTCGGCCCGCTAGAGTTTTTGATTCCAAGACAACTGAACCGGGCTCCGAACCTCAAACCTAATTTAAATTTACGACTCGCGTGATGTCATAACCTGTGCCAAAATTCAAATTGAACCGAGCTATTGACATGTCCACCCTAAAATTCATCTAGCCTTGCACCCTACCAGGGGTTTTCGGTAAACTAGCTCATATCGATTGGCCATTCCGTATACCAAGGCTCCCGCAAAGAAAATATAGCGGATGGACAAACTTTGGTTGATGGAAACCATACGTCGGCTGCTAGGTCCTTGCTTTGTGAGATTGTTTCGGCAGCTTGGCGGTACATTCTGAACTGTCTAATTTGCAAATATATCTTGCCTGGTCCACTAAACCTTTGCTTTTGACCTACTGAATAGGTCAACTGACGTGAGATCTAGAGCAAAGGAGACAATTCTTTCAAGGAACTCTAAGATGACGCGTGTAGGATAGGAGGCCTCTGCTAGATAGGCCATGATATCATCATGGACTTAGCTGTTAGCAGCCTAAACTGGTTTGTTAAGGTGGCTTGGTAAGGACTCACATGGCACTCTTCCGTGATGTAATGTGATAGAGGACTTGAATGGGAGAAGATGTATAGTTACTGGGGCACCAGGCTTTGATGTCTCGGGCTAATTATTCGCTTCAGAAATCAGGATGGAACCGCCCACAGGCCATTGGCCTACATAATTGGAGTGTCGCTGTAAATATCAATTTCTCTAGATGGCCCGACATATTGAGTTTGAGCTGTGGTTTTCCTATAATTTCTGGTTTACTGTCTCCGTGAGTAAAATGTAGTCAAGATACTGGGTGGTAGCCAATATGTTCAACCACTTTCAATGGGGGTAGCCCTATTAAACTCAAAATTCATGGATCAATCGATGCTGAACTACGGATGTATTCAAGTGGGCTAGATCTAGCTGGCGCCAAACATCCTACTATCTTTATTATTATCAATCTGCGGGCGGATAGGTTTGCCGACTTCACACTACTTCATGATACAAATTTGGGAGATGACGCATAGTTCATGTCGACCATCAAATTTGTGACCAATATTTAATCTTGGCCGTGGGTCGGTTGGGTTCTTATATCACCAGGATACTCCTCTCCCGCCGGCGATAGGATGAAAGCTAAAATAGAAGAATGATACCTAAATTTATCCTCTCGATATCGACTGATCTTCGAATAGTTACTTGTTCAGAATTGGAATTTCTTAAACCGTTGGCTGGTGGGTATATCGAACAGGAATACGTTAGGTATTTGAAAATAAAAATATATAGGGTCAGTCCATACCACTCAGATGAGGGAAAATGACAAGTAACGAGTGTACAAACGCCAGTAGCGTCATAAATCGAAAATATCATGGACAGGTAACCTGTATCGCCCGCGGTATCCGTGTAATCCCGCCAATTAATCATAACAATATATTTATCAAAAGTGAAATCAAACCTGGGACGTTGTTAATCACGGAAAGATTTACTTCACGTCCCAGATTTGGGTATTACTCAACCCTATTTTGTTATCTTTTTGAATTTATGGTTGTTAGCTGCCTTTGATCTTGGTTGATTTGGATTTTCTACATATGGAACACAGCGTTCAGTCAACAGTCAACCGTAGTTACTTATGGCCTCGGCCAGTCGACGGCAGATCTCGTGTGACAGTGATTGCCACAATGCAAAAACTTTACCACCCTTCTATAACACCATCTTAGATAAACTAGTGTGTAATAGTGACGATCAAGACTTTTTCAGTCCAGGCATAGTATGTCAATGGCAATCGTAAGACAGAGTGAGATGTGGGCAATGAAAGGTATTTAGAGGCTCTTCTACGCCGGCTTTTCTCCTACGATGCCAAATCTCTAAGTCTTCTTGATTTCCTTAACAACCTTGATCAACCTACTCTATATCCAAAACGTCCACTGTGGATAACTACCCTAAAGATTGGTGTGGAACGACTTCAGAACGACCCACAATGCCTTCAAGACAAGAAACAATCCCAGCCCCCGGAACTTCTACCAACTTTATCAAGACCCTAAAAGCAAAGTTCGGGGAGCAAGGACTGGAAACAATTCATGCATATGATGCTCAAAGGGCCATTCCTGATCGTGTTTCCAAAGTATTGAATGCGAGTCCCAGTGACCTGTCAATTGCCTTGAATGAGTATATCTGTGCAACTCAGGCTTCGGTGCCCCCAACTCATCCAACAAGCGATGATCCTATTAGCATTCAAGTTGGCTGGGGGGGGCAAGATTCCACGCTGGAAGGATGGTGAAACTGTTCAATTTGCTGCCTATGCTGGGGGCTACCCAACACGCGACCATGCCCTCCTTGCTGCGTATAAGCTCAATGATGCAGCAAACAGGTGGAATGACCTCGGACTCCGTGTGAAATTCAAGTGGGTTTCCAGACTTGAAGAGGCGGCATTTGTTCTTGCTTACGGGGGTAATGGCGGCTCAACTATTGCGAGGGCATTTGAACCAAATACCAACGACCTCAACACTCTTTTTGTGTACCAGAAAGCATTTGAGCCAGGCATTATCAACTCCATGTACAATGTCTTCTTACATGAGCTCGGCCATGTACTGGGCCTACGACATGAGTTCGCGCCTGAGAAAGAAGGCAGTGATCCGTCTGTCCAAATTGGCCCTCGGAACCCGCTTTCTGTCATGAGCTACACGTTTCCTCCACAGATTCAACCATCCGATGAGACAAGCACACGGGTCTTCTATGATTTACCCGAAGGCATCTACCAAGGGCTGCAAGTCCTCCATGTTATTCCCGATAACTAATAACTGAGAGTGATCAAAAACACTTTGTGACTGCTGAAATCGGATGACAAATTTAATCTTTTGCGCTAACGGTTTCCAAAATCTGTGTTTCTGGGAGGAAAGGAAAAAAAAAAAAGGAAAAGCCCTAATTTTGAAGGGGAGGGACTTGATTTCCTACCCTGGTGTATTAGTGCGAAATGGTATTCAACATACCATATCGCTGTACATGCAATGGTATGATCAGAAAAGGATATTCTAACATAATAATTCCTTCCGTATATTGAATTTTAATTGTTCTTGGCGGTCAATAATGCTTCTCTGAATGATATGATGGCAAGCCGTATAGTTAGAGCTAGTTAAAGTAGGCCTAAAGGTATTCTGGCCATGCCTAAAGGGGGGAATACATAGTCGAAGAAAGTCTTCACGGGGGAGAATAAAATCATTCCCCCCCCCCCCCTTAGTTCTTTTTTGGATATTTTCGTCTGATACCTAGATCTAGTTATATATCAGATAAAAGTCTAGGATACTCACGTAGAAGGGTGCTACCCTAAGGGTGCTATATTAGCTATCTATAGAGTAAATCGTGACCTTGATATAATATAACGCTATAGGGTTTCTGAAACCTTTATGAAACTAGGTAATTAAGTAATATATAAGGTTTCAAAAACTATAATCTATTCAATTTTATCCCCCCTAGTTATTAAGTTATTTATGTTCAAAGTTAGCTATTTTATATATTTGGTATCGGACTTAGGTAGGGCGGGTTTAGGATCGCTAACCCGAAAGTAGTTATTTTCGTGGAATAAGGTTTACGCTAAGGCTAACTAGTCCTTTTAGAGGGTTAAATCCTGTCGTGGAAAAGTGGAGAGTTTCATTACAGTGACCTCGGATTGGTCCATTTCCTTCCCAGATTTTGTATGTGTTTGTATGTAATATGCGGGTAAACTTTCGACATCGGTATGGTCACTCGAATACCCGGTTACACCGCCATGGGACAGCTCAACCTGCCCCTTTTCCATTCGTTCGAGTCCTTTCCTTTCTTCAATCAATCAACCTTGTCTGTATGATTCCGATAGTTCTCATTCGTCCATATGCATACTAGCCTATACCAATTCAACCGGTTTTGATAAATCCCTATATATTCGTAGCGTTAGTCCTCCGCCGTATAACGGCTTAGAGAGCCCGTGTTATGATATTCGATGAGGCTATCTCCATATTGATATTGGAGCCTTAGGCACCCACGGGCCGAGGATTCTGCCAAGGCGGTGGCTAACTAGCGGTTAGCCGGTGACCCCCCGATAACGATTCGAAATAGTTATACTACCCTACGTTCACTACATGAGCGATACGTTAGCTATACGGTGGCCTATCGCTATGGTTTGCCCCCCCCCCCCTAATCGTGTTTGATTCTTATTTATATAAAAGATAATATATTTAAATCGATACTTAAGGAAGTAGGATTTTCCTTCCTTGAGAAATAATCTCTATAATAATCTAACTTGGTGCTTTACTCTCCTACCTAGTTAATAGGCCGACTATCCTATAAGTAGTTTATTTATAATAATTCTACTTCTTCTTCTTTAACTATCTAGGAGAGATAGTACCTATAACTCGCTCTACTCCCTCTACCGAAAGGATCTTATATATCTCTCGAAACCCTAATAAAATAATTATTATTAAGGATAAAATACCTTATAATATCTAAATAACCCTATCGGACCTCGATAATAGCCTCGTAGCTATATAGGCTACTATCGAAAAACTCTAACGTCTAAAGAAGCTATAAGACTAAGCAGATTACCTTAAGTCTAAGATTCTTAGACGAAGCTATATATAAAGAACTACTTATAGGTGTGACGATCGAGGACGGACTGGAGTGAAGGGTCGAGTAGAGAACTGGTCAACGCGTGTTTGGTGTTTGACGGAAGGTTCCTTTAGCCTATAACAAAAGGGGCTTCCACGCAGTAGATAGATCTTCTTCTTCTTTTCCCCTCTAGATTTAGTTGCCTTCGTTGAATGCACCGATTTGGACCTGATCCTTTCGCTTGGCCGTAACAATAGGATAGAAAGTGTCAACATATGGATGTTGTGGGGTCATATGACGAAGGACCCACTCATATAACCCCTCTCTGCATCTAGATCTTCTTCTCTATAAGATATATAACCCCTCTCTATATCTGGATCTTCTTCTCTATAAGATCTATCGAATTGATCCTCAACGATCTTAAATTGAATTGCATACTCGCATTGAATTGCATACTCGCATTGAATTGCCGATCTAGGCAGGAGACTATCTAAGGGGAAGGCTGGGGGCACCACCTCAAAAGGCTGGCGGCACCACCTAGGGCCTGATTTCGGCCTGATTACTACCAAGCCTTTCACGCCTGTTAATTACGAATTTAACCACCCCCTTCCTTCTTACATACACGCATCCTTTCTACCTTCTCTTCTATCTTCTACTACCACTAGGCCTATTATATGACCCACACACTAATTTAATTTAATTTAACTTCTCTCTTCTTGTACTAGTCCTACTACCCCCCTACCCCTACTAACCATGGATTCTTTATAGTCTATTTTACCACCTATACTACCACCAGACCCACCATAATTCTATGAAACCCGTGACTTTGCGAAGAATGCCCTCTAGGAATCTGCTACTAAATAGGGTTTTGCCCTAGTAGTAAAGAGATCCGATAAAAAGAGGGTTGACCTACACTGCTCTCTTTGGCTAGATCCTACCAAGAAAGGTCCTTCGGTCTTATCGAAGAGTAAATCTCGCGAGGTTATTAAGATTGGGACTAATTGCCTATATAAGATTTAAATCTAGCTACGGAAGGATAGGAAAAACGTTATTCTAGACCGTTATGAGGTTGTGGTTAAATATGGTAACTATAATTATGGCCTAATTCTACTAAATCTTCTGGTTAAACTTCGGTAAGAAGAGAGGGGAGAAAAGGAAGAGCGACTCCTTGATTACTTTGAAAAAGGCCTGAAACCTATGGTAATTTCGATGCTTTTAGAGTCTGAGAAGAGTCTACTTAACTTGAAAGATCTTAAAAACCTCCGCGCCCGGACTAGATTAATTTTCCTTGGTGGGCGTATATCGATTGAAGTAGTGATAGAGAGCCTACCTAGGTAGATTATATAACACGAATTAGACGATACGTAGCGGCTAATCAGAATTATGTTTATCTTAAGGATAGGCCTTTAATTTCTTCGTGTTTATCTAAATCTTCTATGGATAGATACTATATATAAGACTAATCGGTAAGATAAGTAAGATAAGAGAAAGATGAGAGATTACTAATTTACTTAGGTTAACTAGGTATAATATGCTAATAGTTAATATCGTCGGATAAACTTTAATAAGGAAAACCTTCTACGTGGCCTATTACTTTATTAGTAATAAGCAAGAATCGTCGTATCTTTAGATATTTTAAGCTCTTTAAACATAGCTTATATAAGTAAAGATTTAAGCTCTAGGTGTTATCTTCTCCGACGACGTAGACGCTCTTCTTAATATATACGGGGGGATCTTTAAGGATTTAATTAGCCTACTCTGTCTCTGGTATATCATGAAGAATATTGAGACCCGTGTTCGGCTAATTATTTCGAAGTAAATAACGGACCTTCCTAATCTAGAAGGTTAACAGAAGACTATTAACGAATAGCGATCTGTGAAGGCTAAATTTATATAAATTATCCTCGAGCCTACCGAAGATAAGATAGAAGTAAGAAAAGCCTTATTTATAGAAGCTCTTAGCGATCCGATCTACTAATTAGTAATCGATTATATCGAAAAGTAGTGGTTTAGTAATAGGGTAAAGCGATTTATGCGCTACTATCTTACCGGAATTCTCTATTATGATAAGCTTACTTCCTCTCGCGTGGAAGGTGCGTATTATTAGATTAAGAAGGAACTCCGAAGCTTAACTAGCGATATCCTTATAACTATATAAGTCGTCTCTCGAGTCGTTTCCTATATAAATTTATAGGCGTTTAACTTAATTTAAGACGAAATTTATCGTTACCCCGTCGATCTTTAAGTCCTACTTTTCTGTAATATCCTTAATTAGATCTTAAGAAACGTAATCCGAAGGGTTTATAATACTTAGCAGGAATACCTTCGATTAGAGAAGTAGAAACCACTATCCTCTTGTACCTAATACTATATAAAATCTCTTGGTCTCCTATGTAATTATATGATTAAAGACCTAAAAGATAGTGGTAAATCCCTTCTCTTATCCTATTTTAACTAATAACACTAGCTTCGCCTGCCGAATCTAATTTAGACTAATCGGTAGCGAATTAGAAGGGTAGGAAGGGTAGGAAGGCTTCGAATTAATGAACCGAATCGGGTAAAGGGGGTTAGACGGCCGAAGTTGCTAGAGACTATGAAGCGTTAGCGAAGATAGGGGGGGAGGAATTTTACCGGTCGGGATTATAGGCTTGAGCGAAGGAAAAGTACTTACGTTTCTATAGATAAAACTATAGGAATTGTGGTACTACCGCCTTTAAAGAGAACTAATATATCGATAAGGCGAATACTATTAAACTAGGAGACGAAACTTCGGTAAGGGCGTGGGGCTGGCCGCGGTTGTAAGGCTAAGAAATTGGTGATAGCAGAGAAGGAATTAAAGAGAAGGGTAAGGTAGATTACTAAGTATCGATTCGGTAACTAGTAAGGGGTGAATTGGTAGTATTAGATAGAAGGGTTTAAATTGAATTAGTGTGTGGGTTATGTGATAGGCCTAGTAGTAGTAGAAGATAGAAGAGAAGGTAGAAAGGATGCGTGTATGTAAGAAGGAAGGGGGTGGTTAAATTCGTAATTAACAGGCGTGAAAGGCTTGGTAGTAATCAGGCCGAAATCAGGCCCTAGGTGGTGCCGCCAGCCTTTTGAGGTGGTGCCCCTAGCCTTCCCCCTATCTAATACTCCAATACTCTATCCTTTCTTATATGATCTTTTACCATGTTTCTAAGATATAAATACTGCTATGTTTCCTAACTAAATTGAATCA